AGCACGAGAGACGTTCTTTGAGAGTTATAGCATTTATTTTAGCGCAATTGTTGAAAATAAGTGTATCGTAAAGTTGTATTCGGAAAGAATAAACCAGTTTTATTAAGTAAGGACTTGTGTCGCTAAAGTTTCGTCGGAACGAAGTTACGGAAAGTTAATTAACAAACGGAGACGTAACAGTATCTTAAAAACATTCTCTAAGATGAGACAGATTATAAAATCTGATGTGGGGAACTATATTACTTTTCAACCATGTATACTATTTGCTCATCACACAAAGATGTTGCAGATATGAGTGGAAAACAGAGGAGCACATCCAGTTGGGAGAGAACTATGACTGGAAAGTGATCTAAACCATGCGATATTTATAAAACCCAATCCCAGACATTATAAGAGTGGTTAAAATTAAAATAATATGCCCCAAGATGTAGAGTAGCTAGGGCAAGATGGACCGTACACAGCAAGTCAACTACAATCAAAACCCAGCCACCCACATTAAATAGGTGGAGGGACTGATGCAAGGAAAAGAAAGAAGCATCCTTCGAAAGTGTCTGAAAAACTTTCCCAAAGTTGAGACAGTCAGATTCTAAAATCTGATGTGGGGGAACCGTATCACTTCTGAACCACATATACTCTTCGCTCATTATAGAAAGATGTTGCATATATGAGCAGGAAACAGAGGAGCACATCCAATTGGGAGAGAACTATGACCGGAAAGTGATCTGAACCATGCAATATTTATGAAACTCAATCCCAGAAATTACAAAAGTAGGTAAAATGCAAATAATATGCCCTAGATTTAGGGTAGCTAGGGTGAGACAGAACATACGCGGCAAGTCGACTACAATGCAAAACCCAGGCCACCAGGAAGGAACTTCTATGTGGAGGCAGGAAAGAGGATCATACTGGTGGCAAATCAACTACAATCCAAAACCCTGGTGGGGGTAGGAAAGAGGATAATACTGTATTCACCTCAAATTCATGAGACTGGAGGAAATGTAGTACCACCCTACCCTGACTGATGAATGGGGCACATGTGAATGTGATACATTGATTTTGGAACCTGACATCCGGTATTGAAAAAATGTCTACATAATGTAAACCATCTCCCTCAAAAGTGATATTGATAGCTGAAGGGAAAGAACCATAACAATCTGCAATTCTCCACCATGACTCACAACACTGATGGAGTATGAATGAGGAAGGAATACAGACATCTTTAATTCATGTATGAGGACTTATGTTGATTGGTTCTACTCTAAATCCAAAATTCATTCACTGGGAACCGGCATCCACATGGGAGATCCCAATTAAAGGATCTGCAATTTTGACAGCTCATCCCATTTATATTTGTTTTATAATGGAGGATATCACGTCATCTACACCAGCAGAACACCACTGCCCTACTTTCAACTGAATGGTTGTATAATCCTTTTTATTCGGTTTGTATTTCATTAACCCATTCAGGATGATGCCTCCATGGTCCACCACCCCAGCGAAAATGAAAAGTGGTAAGGACTCCCTAGCTCCACAAGAAAAAAAGGGGGCACAATGGAGAGTTCAGGGGAATCACAACATCTGAGACAGTGTAATGGGTAGCCACGAAACACTATTTTTAAAAGTAAGTCTATCCAAATCAGGATGAGAGAATAAAGGTGTGAGATGGAAGGAAGGGAAAGTGGCTAACAGGAGGAGTGTTAGGGAGGAGAAATTATCTGGAGAAAGGAGAATATATTGAGAAGGATAAAGTGTATGTGAAACACTGATCTCAAATAAACAGACCACCAACATCCACAGGCGAATAGGAGAAGGTGATACAAGAATCTCTGGGAGAGTTGTTCGAATAGTGCAGGATGACACTAATATCCCTATCTGGGAGGGGAGCCTGTCACAGCAGAAGACAAATCCGAAAGGAATACATCCACATATAAAGTGTAGGAGAGGTAAATACCTGGAGGATTGGGGAAAAAGGAAAGGTGTGGGACAGGATTGCCTGAAAATCAGAGACCCGAGAAGACAAGACCCCCAATACAAAAGTCAAGAGGGGAAATCAACATGACAAAGAACAGTGGGTTGATCAGGGGAAACCCTGGACCCAGAGACCAATGACAGGAAAATTCTATTTGCATTGAGAAACTTCCATGTAGGAAGGGCGAATGAAACAAGCCAGAAAATAGGATATCCACTGGGAGAAGCTGGATCACCTCGCTAATGACCAGAGGAAAACTAGGCTTGAAGATAGAGGGAAGGAAGGTCTGGATGAAACACCAGTGACTGAGGGTTGCGAAAAAGGGATGTAGACAGAAAAAAAGGTAGTGGAGGATGAATTTGGAGTTGGAGAAGTCACAGAAACCACAACTGAGATGGCCAGGAAAGAGCTATCAGAAGGACTGAAAACAGTGTCACGGATGAATTAAATCACCTTGAGAAGAAGGAGAATGAGCAAAGAGACAGATTTGTAGGTCCAAACTTGCTGAAAACATCGATAGTCAGAGCAGGAAGATGAAAAACCAGAGACTAAAATCAAGGCAATTTGTGGTTAAGGGACATAGCAAAAGCTTCAATGTGAGGAGTACCCCACTGAAGTCAAAGCCACTGGAAAACAAAAGGATTGAGAGATCATTCCATCAGATAAATGTTGTCTGGACAGAAATCTGATCCACGACAAGAGCAAAAGCACCCCAAATATGACACACAATGATAGGAATGTTAAGTGTGAAGGCCCAAAAAGAAGATCAAACATATGAATACACAGGGATGGAGAATGGGTGCCACTCTGGTGACTGAGATAAGCAACCACTGAAAAAAAGAATGGATCGTTACCTAGCGACTTTTGGCCAGATGGAGAAATTGAACCAAAACACAGCCTACAATGAGAAGCTCCAGAACGTTGATAGGATAATACTTCTTGGCCACAGACCAAAAACTCCAGTTGTTCCAGTTGATCAACCCATGCCCCCCCCCCATTCCTGAAGAGATGTGTCCATGAAATGTGGAAAAACAGATGAGAAGGAGGAAGCCGGACACCTGCCAACATGCGAGTCATATATAACCATTAACACTGATCGACGACTAGGTTAGGAGGAAAGGTAATAAGAGCCAGCAAAGGATCCCTGCAAAATTCCACTAGTCTTGAAAAGCCCACGAAAGAGCCCGCATATGAGCCTGACCTAGAGGGATAAGGGCTACCATGGAAGATCACATCCCCAAAAGTGAGAT